TATTTTGTTTACCATTTTGATTCTTCAATTTTCTGTTTTTGTGGTATTAGAACTATGATTTGTTTATAGTGATTTACTGTTATTTTTTTTAATCATGGTTGAATTTGTAATAGCATTCTTCTTTGGATCTTTGAAAAGCAGTTTGTCCATCTTGATGTATGTTGACTTCCTATTAAGGAGTAAATCTATTATCTTTTTCTTTATAAATTGGTAATTGTATTGTCTTATCTATATATTTTTGAATTTGAACTTGTTTTTTATATTGAAAATAAATCTTAAGTGCATTTGCAATACTTGTTTTTTAAATTACATATTTCTTAAAACTACTGAACTAGATCAATACCCTGGATTTGTTTGTAAGCTTAGTTGACAAAAGCTTTACTGTTTGTTCATTTGTTTTATATTACTCATTTACTTGTAATATTGTGTATTCAGTATCTATTTTTCTTACCAAATATTTCTTTATGATGTTTATGGCTTTGTTAAGTACTATAATTATATGTACTGTTTTTTTATTTGTGTTATTTATTTTTTGTTTATTTTGTTTAATCTTTAGTTTTTTGATATTGTCTTTTATGATCTGATTTATTGTTTCCTATATAAGATTCTATAGCTTGTTTGCTAATACTTGATCAGAATTGATTTTTTTCTCCTGTGCTGTTATAATGTTTATAATTTGTTTTAAGAATTTTTTCCATTGTTTTATAGTTATATGTTTTGTAAAGTACCTTCATATTGGTTTTTTTCTGCTATTCTGATGGACTTTTTGCATTATATCTCTGGTCTCAATTTTACAGCCTGCTATCTTGTGGTTAATATAGATTATTGCTTCTAACTCTGTTATATATGTATAATGTAGATTCCAATCTTTATCTATTGACATTCAAATTTGATCAATTCTGGTTTTTGTGTTTCTGCTATTCTGCCATATGTATTCTTTTTAATATGGATATATCTCTTAAAATGTATCAATATATTTATGGTATTTGAGAAATTTAAGAATACATAATATAAAATTGTTTGATTTGCTTTGGTTTTTAACCAGTGTTGTCTTGTCTAATCTAGAATTTGGAATAAAGTTGAAGTCCCCTAGGATGATGACTTTGTGGTTATTCTTTCTTGCAATTCAAACTCTCTTCTCTATTTAGTACATTGTTTGATTTCTTTCTTTGCCTAAGGCTACTGGTATACAGTATATTGTTACTGATATTGGCGAGTTTGTCGCTAATGAAAGCTAAGATTTATATAACAAAAGTAAGTGTTTTTATTATAGATGAGATACAGAGGGTGATCACAGATATCGGAACGATTGGATAGTGATTAATTAAGTGATGATTTTTTATATATAAAAAAAAAAATTTTTTTTAAAAACTTTTTTCTCATCTATTTCTTTATTTATTTAAAATATCAATACTTTGTTGCGCCACCTTGGACCTCGATACATGCTTGAATTTGGCGAGGCATACTTTCAATTAATTTATGGATATAATCAAGTGAAATTAAATGCCACATGATTTTTACTTTGTACTCTAAATCATCAATATTTTTTGGCTGGTTACATAAGTTACATACCTTCCTATTAACTTGTTCCAGAGGTTCTTGATTGGGTTAAGATCAGGGCTTTGTACAGGCCAGGGTAGTACAAAAATACCTGCCGACTTACAAAAATCAGTGGCGATCTTTGCACGATGGGAGGGGCATTGTCTTCTTGAAAAGTCCCCCTACAACCGACCAACCTATGCAATGAAGGGATAGCATGCTTCTGCAATACTTTAGAATACACTTTTCCTGTCATAGATTCACAAATCAGAACGAGTGGCCCCAGCCCGCTCCACGAAAAACACCCTCAGAACATTCGAATAGGACTGTGCCTCACTGTAGCACTCAGACAAGAAATGTCGAATTCTTTCTCTGGTGTTCGCCACACATGAAAGCTGCGACCCTGTGAGAACTGACTGAATGTGGACTCATTAGACCACATGATTTTTTGCCACTTTGCAATTGACCAGTTTTGTCGCTTCAGTGCCCAAGCTAATCATTTTTCTTGATTTTTTTCTGAGATTAGTGGTTTGGTATAGGCAATACAAGAGCGCAGACCAATTTTTTTGAGAGTATGTCATATCATAACTGCTGACACATTGGTTTTGTTTTTTTTATTCCATAGGTTTTTGATTTCATGAACAGAGAGGCAACGATGCTTGGTACTGTCAGTAACAAGTTTTTTCAGTGCGATTTGCATACAAAAGTTAAATATTGACTCTGGGCCACTACGTTTTTGGGGTGTTGTGGATCCTGTTTCTTTATACTGTTTTATAATGGTAAATGCAGTGGTCTTTCCACACTGGACACTTTCGGCGATTTTTTTATATGAATCACCATATAAGTATCCATAAAGGATCGCCCCACGTTGCACAGCGGTTAATTCATTATTTTTTTCGGTCATCATTTTAATAAATAAATTATGTGTTAATAACGTAACTGCTTATAAATACAATGATAGGGGAGGGGTGGAAATAACATGTAATCAAATAAATTATACTATGTGTAAACTAAAATATGTAAATAATAAATAAAAACATAACCGTTCTGATACCTGTGATCACCCTCTGTATTAAAAGTTATGCATAGTGACTATATAGAGTTTTTAAATCTAAAGCCCATGATCTTTGTGTTTTGTTTCTACTGCTACGTTTGTCTGAAACTGTGGTTTTCGGCTTATTTGAATCTCTCCTACCCACATGTCAATATGTTCTTGTTTGAATATAGGTAGAAAAGGGATGCATACAATAACATACATTATTTGTACACAATCTCACATTACATGTTATACTACAAGTCATCAAATGGGCGCAGGAGTGAATTGATTCGTGAAATGGAGAGTTTATGTGTTGTGGACACAGAAAATTTACAATATGCTAGCGTTTAGGACATGAAAGTGTGAAGAGTAAACGAAAGGCTGGAGGTGTCCTATTCCAATATTAACACAAAGAATAAACACTAAATTTCAAAAAGCATGGTTGTAATATTCGACTACTAATAACAGAAGCTATCTATATAGCATTGAGACATCGGAAAGCATCCACACCTTTGAAAGATATTCTTACTGAGTGTAATGATATCACTGGATGGCATTCTACTGGCATCAGGTGCATTGATTGAAGGATGTGAATACGGTTTCTAATATCTTGAACCTGGAACCATGCATTTGACTTATGCAAGACAGTTGTATACCCTAGGTTAAATAAGACGAATATAAAGCACTTGAACATATTCAAAATCAATCAAGATGAGGTATGCTGATAAGTTTTTCGAAACTTATTGCTGTTGATGGAGGAGTTGAAAAACTCAGAGTAATTTGGGTAATTGAGATAGAATTGGAACCATGAGTTGCCAAAAGTGGAAAGGATAACTTGGGATGTCATTATTAGGATTGGAATTGGAGTCGCAGAAGATAAAGCATTTGAGTATCTGAGATATTAAAGTCAGAAATCCTAACGAACGGGATGGCCTGGAAGGTTGTTATCAAAATGAAGGTAGTGTGTACGGAACATAATGTTGGCTATGAATTGATCAAAATGATAAGAATATAGCATTAGAATATTATCAGCAATTAGCCGAGACCAATAATTTACATAAAGTATTTAGTGTGGAGTGTGGAGAATATAAGAAAGCAATGCAAGCACGGTTGGCTGGATACTCCCTAAAATATACTAGTGGTTAGATCATAATATGTTTTTACAATATGACTGCGTACTCCTCGCAACATGCTAATGATCGTGGACACAGCTGCGTATTCCTCGCACGTGTTAGGAATTTTTGGGCATGGGATATGGGGTATACTTGAAAGGTGATGTGTCACATTTTCCTGACTAATATATTATTTTGATTTTCTTTGTTGAAAAGTTTATCTTCAACTTACCGATTTCTCGTTTTTTACTCATAATGCCAAAGTCTGGGTTAAACAATAAGCGCAGCTGGGTATTTACAACAGTTTGGACATGGCTGTGAACTTCCCACATCGTAGCTAAAAGGTTGGGCACAGGTGGAAGGCTATAATATGCATATGGGGACATCCTAGGAAGGCAAGGTTCTGTGTTTGGGTTTTGAAATTATAGTGTTTTCTGAGTTTATTTTTAACCCGCTGATTTTCGTTTCACTTACATAGCTAATGCTAGTAGAACAATAGATCAGTGGTATTTTCTTTGAGTGAACATGACTATGCATTCCCCACAACATGTTGTATGCACACGGCTGTGTACCTCCACAATGTGTCAAAGATTTGGAAAACGGTTGCGTACTCCAGCAACAGAATAGTGATTTGAGCATGGGTGCATGCCTCCACAACATGTTAGCGTTTTGATCATGCCTGTGTCCCCCTGCAACGTGTTATGTCCTGGGTTTAGTACCCTTAAAGTGCTATTGTATAAAATATGAAGGGAATATTTTTTGGAAGCACCTATACTATGATGCTCTTTACTACTGTCTCTTCTATTTGGTATGGGTAGCACACACATACACAATTCCCGTAGTTCTTTTCATCGACTTTAGTTAGAAATGATGGATCGGCGACAAAGGATTCAGGATGATGATGGATTCAGAATGGTGATGGATTCAGGATGATGGTAAAGGGCTTGGGATTTGAGCAAGAATAAAAAAAATTACTTACGATTAAGAAATTTTTTTATTTGTTATTAAATAATTAATGATTAAACATTATATTAAATTTATTTATTAAACATTATATTAAATTTTATTAAACGCTATACTAAATGCTATTAAACGCTATATTAAATGTTATTAAAATGCTATATTAAATGTCATTAAATATTATTAAATGCTATATTAAATGCTATTAAATGATTAAATGCTAAACTAATTAAATGATTAAACACTATATTATTATATAATTAAATCCCAATTCTAATCTATCTAAATTTTATCATTTTCACAACAAAAAAAATTAATAATTGAAGTTTCTTTCGAAACTTTCGTTCAAGTTGCTAAGTTAAAAACAAATATTTTTTAAAAACATCTATGTCCTTTGTTTTGAATTCATCCGATTGCAGTTGTTCAAAAAAGGTAATCCAATTTGTTAAGGATTTTACTGCATCTCCAAAAGAAATAAGCATTGGTTCCTCTTCAGATTTATCATTTTCATCAACTTCTTCCATTTCCTTCCGAATTAACTTTATAATATCATTTTTGCTTAAAATAGCTTCAGTTGAAATCTTTTTCTCTAAATCATTAAAGAAATTATTTAATGCATCTACCAGCAAAGCAACATAAGAATCAGTTTTATTTAAATCTTCAACTATTTGATTAATATCTGCTATTTTGTGTTCTCTTGCTTCTTGTTGAATTTGTGTTGCATTATTCATTTCTTCATTAGTTAAAAAGGGTAATATTCCGGTTTTTCTCCAACAATTCCAAATCGTATTTTCAGTTACGTGGCTCCATGCTTCAGATACATAATTAATCGCATCCTTAATATTGATTTTCTCTTTATTGATATCTTTGCCTTCTTCAAAGAGTTTCAATATATGACGAACATATTTTCTCTTATAATAATTCTTAAAACTTGCAATAATCCTAGCATCAAGAGATTAAAGATGACTTGTCATATTAGGAGGTAAAAAAACTACTTCAATATGAGTTAATTGAAGTTGGGAGGTATTAGATTGATTTCCATTTGATCTATTACGATAAACTTTCATTCCACAATTTCTTGATTTACTATTATGACTATTATAAATATTATGACCACTATGACTATTGTAACTTTGTAAAACTTGATTTTCTATAATTAAATTTAAAGAAATATTAGATATTTTTTTAAAATTATATTTTATATAAAAAATTTACCTGATATATCTTTATCAATATTATTTTCATCTTGATTAATATAATGTGGATCAAAATGTGATGGCGCATTATCAATTAAAAGTAAATTTTTTTTATTTTAAGCTTTAAAATGCCTGTTCATTTCACGAAAAACCTGTTCAAAAATCATTGAATTCATCTATGCTTTTGAATTTCCACGATAATATACTGGAAGACATTCCAAATTAACTTTTGAAAGTGATCTTGGATGTTTTGAATTTCCGATTATCCATGGTTTTAATTTATCGGTTCCAGTAGCATTAGTACCAAGAAGAATAGTAATTCGAGTTTTATCTTTTTTTTGACCATGAACCAGAATACTTGAAAAAGTTTGATTTGGAGCCATCTGATAATAAAGACCCTTTAATAATTTAAATAATTTAATAAATTATATATAAATTTAATAATAAATAATTTAAACTTATTCTTATTGTTTCATCAATATTATAAATTTGATCAAGAGTATAGCGATCTAAAAGTTGATGTAATTTTTTTCGTTCCTCCAGAAGAGATGCTAATGGTACACTTCCTGATTTTCCATGAATACAATATCTATGAATATTATTACGTTTTTTAAATTTATGTAGCCAACTATTTGAAAAAGTTAAATCTTTTTCTTGAATATTAAAGACTTCGGCAAAAATTTTTGCTTTTTCCTTTATTAATAGATCTGTTAATATTACACCATTAACTGTTATATTTTCTACCCATAAATTCATTGCATGCTCAAGAATTGGAAATTTAACTTCTTTATGTCTAAATGTTTGAGTAGAATCTTCAGTATTTATAGCTTTCCACTTATCTCTTTGTGATAAAATCTTTGATATGATACTTCTATCAATAATCAAATGAGAATATGTTTCATTAAAATATGCTGCTATTTCTGTATGCCATTTTCCTTTGTTAGCCTTCTCCCATTTACAAATTTGATATTTAATATCATCACTTATAATTGAACGATGTTGCTTTAATTTTGATTTTTGAATAAGAGGCATACTAAAAAAACAAAAATTTTTTTGTGTTTGTATCATTATCACTACATATTTATTTTATTTAATAAAATTTGATTTTGAACTTATAATAATTTCTACCAATCAAAAATTTATATAATTATAAAGAGGTTTATTTATTAATAAAAATAATATATATGTGACCTATGGGTCTATAGCACAGTGGTAATGTTTCATAGGTTACCAGGAGAAGGTCTAGGGTTCAACCCCGCCTGGTTACAAAAATTTATCACCTTCATGATTAGTTGACCGGCTTCCAATTCATGTCGTACCCAATCAGCCGACAAAATCTATCTCCAAATTTAGTTAGACTGCATGAAGATGGGACCTCTGGTTTTCCTGATGATCGCGGGCTGAAAATAGGTCGAAACAAGAAAGATTGCATGAGGAAAGGCTTCTGGTTTAACTCCAGTAATAAGCCCACAAACTCTAATCCAAACTGGCAACAGCAGACTCCATTACACAATATAAAGAGGTTAATTCTAAGCTGATCTATCCCAATTTGGAGCTTGTAGATCTATCCCAATGGTGATATTCCAAGGAACTTAATTATATGACTGAAGGGCAATGTATCAGCCACAGGTAGTAAGAAGACTAAACAAAAATCGTTAAGCCAAGTAAGTCTAGTGAGAATCTATAAGATTAAATCAGAATCCAAGCAAGAATGCCAGTTCCACAGGTGGTGAAAATGGTAGTACTGCACTATGCTAGTGGTACATCTCGAGGGTCAATGATAACAACGAATGGAATACTGAAATCAATCTCTATAATAATATTCCACAACATGCCTTATCCACAATGAATGTAGTCGAGACTGGACCTAGTAGGTTAGGTGGTTTAAAACTAGTAGTAGGATTTCCATCCCCTATGTAAGTCCCACCTGGCGTGTGAATCATCTACTTGATGTTTAAAATTCGTATAGCTGGATATGTTGCAATTGGTCTAGGGAAAACTGGGAGCACTGGAAATGGTGATTATCAGGTAGCATTAATTTGCATTTAGGATAGCAATAGCCTACTTTATAAAGATGTTTGATGTACTGACTATAAAACGAATGTTTAATAAATGTTGTGCATCTAATGCCCTTAGCCAATTTAAAAAAAAAAAAAATTATTAAATAATATATTTAATAAATAAGTTTTTATATAAATTTTTTTAGATTAAATTTTATTATAATAAAAAAATTTATTATTTAATAATTTAATACAAATTTTAAAACTAAAATTATTTTTTATTTACTTATTTATAAACTTTAAATGTTTTTTTAATTTAATAATAATATAATATAAATAATTTTAAACTTATAGATTCATAATATAGTAATGATACTTTATAGGTTATCAAAAAAAGATTTAAAATTCAAATCTATCTAATTATAAAAATTTATTATCTTTATAATTAATTAATTGATTTTCAATATATGTTATATTCAATTAGTCAAAAATTATTTATCAAATTAGTTAGGCTATACGAAGATAAAATCTTTGATCTTTTTAATAATTATAAGTTGAAATCAAGTTGAAGCAAGAAAGAATTATATAAGACAATATTTCTAATTCAACTTTAATAAAAGTTTATAATTCCAATTGAAACAGCAAATTTGATATTATTATTCTTTCTATTTACTCCGACCTTTGAAATAATCGAGATCCAGGATTCTTATCATTTGTTTCTAAAATTAATATCATTTTTGCTAACTAGTTTTTCAAATTGATAACTGTCTCGGTTTATGATTATACATATTAAACTTTATTATACAAGTCAAATTGTATAGTTCGTCATGTGAGGAAATTTAAGTAATGCTAGTTTTGTAATTTTATAGGCAGAACGATGTACAGTAAATGTGAGGGACCAACATGAGGTATGATCCAACGTAAGGTAATCAAGTGACCTAATTAAAAAGCAATATTGTATAGATATCGATGCATATTATATGATAATTAAATTTATTGATATCGATACA